AGGAAAACGGCTGTAGATATGAGGTGGCACCAAGAGAAGCAAGTGGACGACGAGAATTTTTCAAGGCATCTTTGTGATTTGAAGAATGGAAAGACTTTGATAAGCAATATCCTGATTTGCTTGGGACGCTCGTAATGTTAGGCTTGGATTGGCACACGATGGTTTTAACCCTTTTGGCAACATGAGCAACTCTTACAGTATGTGGCCTGTGATCTTGATGCCTTACAACCTGCCTCCCTAGAAATGTATGAGTGATCCATTCTTCATGATGTCATGCATATTCCAGGACCACAGGCACCCGAGAAGTAGATTGATGTATACTTGCGCCGTTAATTGATGAGTTGAAAGAATTGTGGGAAGGTGTTGTAACTTTTGATGCATGTAGCAAACAGACATTTCAAATGAGTGCAGCTATTATGTGGACCATAAATGATTTTCTTGCTTATGGGAACCTATCTAGATGGAGTACAAAAGGTTACAAGGCATGCCCCATTTGTAATTTTGATCATTATCACAGCCATTAAGAAGCAAAATTGGCTACATAGGCCATCGGCGTTACTTGCCGCAAGATCACAGCTGGCGACGAAGTAAGTTATTTAATGGTAAGATTGAGAAAAAATCAAAACCTTGTGAGTTATCGGGGCAAAGATTTTAGATCAGTTGGAGTGTTTACCAAATGTGCAATTCGGGAAGCATCCAAAAAATCAAAAAAGAAAGCAGTCATCTGAGGAAATTAATTGGACAAAGAAGAGCATTTTTTGAGTTACCGTACTGGCATGTGCTTAAGATTCGACATAGCCTTGATGTCATGCACATAGAGAAGAATATATATGATAGTTTGCTTGGCACGTTGTTGAGTATTGATGGCAGGAATAAGAACACAGATAAAGCTCGTCTAGATTTGGAGGACCTAAATATCAGAAAAGAATTGCACCTCCAAAAGAATGGGGAGGCATATGTAAAACCGGTGCATGGTACACTTTATCTCCAAAAGAAAGACAAGGGTTCTGTGAATTTTGAAATCAGTTAAGTAACCAGATGGATATGCAGCAAATATATCGAGTTCTGTGAGCACGAAGGATGGTAAGGTATCAGCCTGAAAAGCCATGATTGTCATGTTCTTCTGCAATGACTTATTCCACTTGGAATTCGTGGTTACTTGGACAAGGAAATTTGTACCACTTTATTTGAGCTGGGAAATTTTTTCAACAACTTTGTGCAAAGACATTGATGGTAAAAGACTTGGATGCACTACAAGATAACATAATACTTATTCTTTGTAAGTTAGAAAAGATATTTGTACTAGCATTCTTCGATGTTATGGTGCATTTAGCAGTTCACTTGCCAAGGGAAGCTAAGATTGTTGGACCAGTGCAGTATCGATGGATGTACCCAGTGGAAAGGTGATATTTTAAATTGTTATTAGCTTCTCATTTGATTTTGTTATTATCTCCTTATATGTTTTGTGATTTATTGAAGGTATCTCGGAACTTTAAAGGATATGTTCATAATCAAGCTCGTCCAGAAGGTTCAATTGCAGAGGCCTATATTGTCAAAGAATGTCTTACCTTTTGCTCGATGTATCTTACTGGTATCGAAACAGTTTTTAATCGCGAGGAACGAAATGCAGATCGAGTTGAAAATGTGCATGGGTTAGCTGTGTTCACCCAAAATATTGTCCTTTTGGGTGAATTACAAGAGCAAATGAGGTCTCTCAACAGGAACGAGAGATGGCTCATTGGTTTGTCCTACATAATAGTTTCGAACTGGATCTGTATCTAGAGTATGTGTACGTTAAATATACATATTTGTGAGCATTCTTATTGTACTTTGTAATTGTTTAAAATATTTTATATGTCAAATTTATGGTTTTATACGTAGGGAACACAAAAATATATTAGAGTTGGAAAGAAATGGTGACATCACTCGTCGCCACCAAGCAGAATTTCCCAAGTGGTTTGCAAAACGTGTAAGCTATAAAATTTAGATTATAAGCATTATTTGCATTAGTTGTAAAACCACAAAAAACTTTCATATTCATGTGTGTGGATGAATCAGTTACAAGGCGAAGGGTCACATGAAGCAACTGATGAATTGTGGTCACTAGCAAATGGTCCCTGATGTGACAATAAAATTGTACTCTGGGGCAATATGCAATGGGTCGATTCCACACTAAAGAGCGTGATAATCGTCGAAAAAGCCGAAACAGTGGGGTAGTTGTAGAAGGAGAACATAATAACAAAACAATTAACTTCTACAGATACTTAAATAAGGTGTGGGAGATGAGTTACATATTTGGACATAGTATTTTTTTGTTCCAATGTGAATGGTTCAACCTTGGTAGTGGGAAAACAATTTAGACTGATGCTCATTTTACAAGCATTAATGTGAAAAGTAGATGGTATCAAAATGACCCTTTTAGTCCTACCTGATCAGGTGAAACAAGTATTTTATGTTAATGATACCAAATTGGGTAAGGATTGGCAAGTTGTGCAACACATACATCATCGAGGAATATGGGATGTTCCTGAGTTAGAAGATATAGAAGTTAGTGAAAATGAATCGTATGTTCCAACTGATGCATTCCAACAGGATGAATCAACAGAGGTTGCTCCTGTAGTGGTCAAAGATAACGAAATAGGTCAACTTCATAGCACTGATCTTGATCCAGAAATCATTCCTCGAGACCGGATTGTCCATTGTAGAAGCAGAAAAGATAATAACATTGATGATTTCATATGTGATGACAATGATGAGTCACAAGTAGAGTATGTCGATTCAGAAGAAGATGATGATGTACATTCCCATTTTGATTCTGATGAAGAGTCAGATATGTAGGTGAATTATTAAGATATTTTCATGGTAATTAATAAATTATGACTTATATATAATGTTAATAGTTGGATATTGTCGATATAACTTATATATTTATATATTTCAGGTGTTGTATATACATGGGACCAGGTCGCCGAGCCACCACAATAGCAAGTAAGGTTGCATCCTCTGATGCACCTACTAGGGGTGCATCCTCGAGTACACATGTTAGTGTTGTGTCATCGGATCCACCTACATCACAGCCTCTTGCAGGCACTGAGGCTAGCAGTGCAGGTTTGATGCATATTTTATTTTTTAAATGTAGTTGTCTTAATATGGTTGGCTAACATCTGTTATTAATGTTTACGCAGCAGCTTCTACCGCAAAGAAACATGGTCGAGGACCGTCTAGGGGGAAAAATGCTGAGCGTCTTCGTGTAGCTCACGGCTTGCTAGATGTTTTGATTCCTGATAGAGTCGGCGTTCCAGTGGGTGTACATTCTTCGAAGGTGATGACAGAGATTGGCTCCCTAGTGAGGATGTTTGCCCCTATCAGAAATGTCCACAAATGGAAGCAAATAACTGAAGAGGAGAAGGCACTACTCATTGCACATTTGTTGGCTAGTGGATATATTTGTTTGGTTTTCAAATTATATTTATTTGCGTAGAGTGTTACAACATGTTGTAATGAATTTGTACATTTATATTTTGTTGTAGACAAAATTTAACATTGGAGACTATTGTGAAAAAGTTGGTGTTAGGAAGGCCGTCGACAAAAAATTTGCTGCGATGTACAGGGACCATCAATACTATATGCATATGCACTATAAGGATTTGGTTAAGTCCAGTGTTGACCCAAAGAGCAAGCCATAAGGTGATGTGAGTCAGGAGGATTGGGAGTACATAATTGAAACACTTTACAAGGATCCAAAATTTCAGGTAATTTTTATAAGCTATGCAAATTAATATCCACTTTTATTCCCAATTATGTACTAATTATATGCTTTGTATATAGGAAAAATCTAAGAAAAATGCAGAAAATCATGCCAAACTACCATACAACTACTCAATGGGTTCAAAGTCCTTTCAGTCTGCCCTATATGAAAAGATGTTATACTTTAGTATTTGCTTTCTAAATTTTAATATATAGAAAATTCATAAATTTGAATATTGATATTTTGATTAATTGTAACAGAGGGATCCTACGACTGATGAGCTACCCCACATTGTTGATTTTTTTCACGATTCTCATGTGAACAAGAAGGGTGAGTGGGTTTCTAATGAGGCAAAGTCAAGAAATGTAAGTATTTAAAATTGTAGAAAATTATGTTTTTTTTTTTTAAATAAATTTTTACGATACACTCAATAATTGAGTTTAAATATATTAAATTGTAGGAGCGGATGAAAGAATTGGCCACACAGAACTTAGAAGAGGGTGTAGAGCCATTGACACAGGATGAAATAGCATGCACAGTCCTTGGCAGCCGACCTGGATATAAGAAAGGATTTGGACATGGCCCAAAGCCTTCATCCTCTAGTCATTAATTCAGATGCACTGCTGAGTATCGAGAACAAGCTGATATGATAAAGGAGTTGCAAGCAACTGTTGATAGTCTTCAGAAGGAACGTGATGAAACGAAAGAGAAGCTAAAAAAGTTTGAAGGCGTGCAACAAAAGTTTGAAGACGCGCAGCAACAGATGATGCAACAACTTTTGCAGATGCAACTTCAATTGCAACGTGCTCTACAGGGCAACTCAACTAATGCAGACATGCTACCTGACTCTTAGTTAGTATCTTTTTACTATCATTTTAAGTTCAACACTTAAGTGTTTTTGAAAAATTTGATTGATAATTTATTAATGTATTTTTTCTTTTTTATAACAGATGAATTATGGACTTCTGCATTAAAGTGGCTGACGAAATATCTTTTTTTTATGTATTTAAATATTGTATGATTCCATAATGTGTTCCACTGGCATTTTCAGTTGGCAGGTTGTTAGTTTTGGTTTTGAAAGTGATTTGCTTAGTTGGTTGTTGCCTTAGAATTGTCTGGAGGAAGTTTTTGGGTGGAGCTGTTGATTTGGTTTTGGTTATTTTGTATCACGTGACTGTACAGTTGGTTTACTGGCCTCTGCTTGGATAATCTTTCCGACGTATTTTGTAGATGGCAAACTTTCTTGTTTCTCATGTATTCGTTGAGTGCTCTACTGGATGTAGTGGTGTCCAATAAGCTGGCTGCAGTAAATTTTTGTAAGAGTAAATTTTTGGTTTTAAGATATGCATGCCTTGTCTTAGAAACCTTTCCATACATGCTAATGCTAGTTGACACTAGATCAAACTCAATAGTGAAACATATTTCTTAACTTTAGTTTTCAAATCTAGGAACTTGATAGCGGACATGGGCGTTGCAAGGATGAATTGAAGGAGTTTGAAAGACAGGATGTTAAATATTGTGAAGATTTAAAGCACATGAAGCAAAAGATCAAGAAACTAGATGAGAAAGATGACAAGGTATGGGAACAATTGGTCTCCACTTGTATTGAAACTAATGCATGTATCTTACTTTGGGTTCCATTGTAGGATTCAACAATGATTACTAACATAACAAAAGATCATGGCGCTAGTCCCTGACTTTGAAGAACAAGGTGCTCTGAATTTAGTTACAATTATCTTATTGATTATTTGGGTGATTAGGCATTTCGTTTTTGCTTGATGTTGACAGACATGGTGGTGTGACTTTGTAGGTATAGATGATCTCGAGACAATTCTTGTTCCTTTAGCACATCATTTGAGACCAATGCTCCTCAATTCATGGAAAGAAAGAAGTAAGGTTGCATTCACAAAAAATGCAAAGAAAATGAAATGTTTACTAGATAATTTGCAACAGAGACTTGACAAGGTAAGCACAATACAGTGGTGGCTTTGTCACCATAATGTGTTCCACCTCTAGGCATTTTCCCCTTTTGTATCTAAGGATTACCTCTGGTTCCACTTTGTGTTATACCCTTTGGAGCTGTTATTTTACCATTGTAGTTTAGCAATAGTGGTATGTTAAAGCTAAACTTTCTTTTCATGTTTCTTACATATTTGTTGCTTCCAGCCTTTCCTGAATATGCAATTATATGAAAAAGCACTAAATTTGTTTGAAGATGACCAATCAACTTTGGTAAGTTATGTTGAACTTTTTCTTACTAGATTTCTGTGATGAAAATTTAGTTGTTTTGTGATGCACAAGTGCTTTTACACCGACATTTGTCAAGAACCACAACCATGTCTATGGTGGACACTCTCTTACTGAACTTTGGTAGCATACACACCATTCCTTCTTGCATACACACCACAACCGTATTTAATTATGTATTTGTTTCCCCCCTCTTTTTTCCAGTAGTTAGAACACTGTTCTCATGTTTCCTATATTAATGCATATTATTGTATCCTGTAGTTAGAACACTGTTCTCATGTATCCCGTAGTCAGAACACTATTCTCTCACACACACACATTAACACACACGTGTCCATACATGTTTGTAGATGAATATATGTGTTTGTTTTTCAATGTTCTTGCCTTATTCTCCACAGTTTAGGACTTACATAATTTGTTATTGCTCATAGCAATACTGGGAAACTGGTGGTAACTGCAATATGGCCATAGCATCAGCAAGACTGGGACTTCATTGTGTTGCAATTGGTTATGTTGGTGATGAAATGTATGTGCCACTTCCTCTTAGATGTTGTTCATGATGAAGGAATTGGTATGGTTGGGATGAGTGACCTGAATGACAATGTTGACAGTTCAAGTGCTGCATAGGAGACATTTCTATGCTGGGTTTTGGTGGACCCTTTTCACAGACATGGTTTTTGCAGGTATAAGTAATCAATTAAAGGTTTATTCCTTCTTTAAATTTATATAAATTTTATAGGGAAACCAATTGCCAACTGAATGAATTGCTGTTAGCAAAAGATGGTGCATCACACCTTCTGCTTATTTATTAGTCGAGCAAATTTTTGTAAACAGCCTGCATTCAGTTGGCTGAGCAAGCTATCTATTGAAGTAAAGATGGCAATTAAGCAATCAAAACTCCTGTTCTACAATGGTTATGGCTTTGATAAACTCTCCCCTTGTTTGATTATTTCTACTCTGGATTATGCTGTTGAAGATGGGACAACATTTTTTTTTATCCTGGACCACGAGGAAAGACCCAAGTGACAGGAACACCAGAAGAACAGAGAGCACTTGACAAGTTCTTGAGGATGAGTGATGTTCTTCTACTAACGTCTAAGGAGGTTTGACTTGTAACTCTTCATAAACTGTATGAGCACATTCGTTTTCTTTCCTTCACCATAGCCTTCTATCATTGTATCTTATTTTTGAGGGGATTATATACTCAACTAAGCCTTATCCCAATTATTTGCCATGGATTATGAAAATTGATTTAGCCACCGATAATTATGACTAGGTTAGACATCACTTCTAACTCAGCTTTTATCAACACGGTTATTTCCTTGCTGTAATTGGCTTGTTGCCACCCTTCTATATAAATATTTTGTTTGGTTACCTCATTTTGTGCACATGTTAACTCTTGATAGTTGCTTATTTTGTATCATATTGTTACGAGCCTTTTACTGATTTCCCTCCAATTTGACTGGTATGTTTGACAAATTGAACAGTCTATGCACCAATCCTCCATTTATTCTGCTCAAATCACAGCATCTTTTGAAGATTGTGTCGGCTGCAAAGATGAATAAACCATCACCATATTGAATCAATTAATGCCACAACTGGTCGGGATTACAGATTTTGTTTCCATCTCATTTTTTGTAGGAAGTGTAAATTCTGAAGTTGGCCAGAACTAATTGATAGATTTATGCAATCTGTACCCTCTAGTTAGAATTGGATAGGAGAGCTTTTGATTTTGTTTTATAGTATTTTAGCATGTTCCCAGAGCTTACGGTGCTTTTGGGAAGAGTTTGGTAGTTTTCAAGGTGGTAAACTTGTAACATTAATTGTTTTGAGGTATAAAGACTACATAGTTCTCCAAATGAACTATTCGTACTCATGTCTAAGGCTTCATTGTGGATCGACTGTCTATATTTATCTTCCAGTCCTTTGAAGGAATCTGGAAAGAGTAAATTTGATTCGTTAATAAATGAAACTAACATCCGACATCATCAATTCTATCCATAAGGCAGTGTGGGCGACTTTTGTTGTATCTAATGTTTTTTATATGATGCATCATCCATTCTAGTATAATTTTCACTTTTCATCCTAGTAATATAGCTTATGTTGATGGCTTGTCAGGCTAAATCATTGACTAGCATAGGAAATCCAATACTGGCAGCCCAAGAGTTGCTCAGGAAAGGGGTCCGCACAAAATGGGTGATTGTTAAAATGGGTGCAAAAGGCTCAATTCTAATAACCATGTCAAATATATCTTGTGCACCTGCATTCAAGGTACCATTTATTATGTTGATATGTGCTCATGGCTCATACGAATGTTTACATGATCACTTGTTTGAAGTTATTTGATGCTAGGATCCTGATAAGGAGTATAGTGGCTTCATTTTGCACAAAGGGACATTATTATTTCCTACTTCAGAAGAAATTGGTCTTTGTTTGCAAATGATCAAACTATTTAAAATGAGTCTTGTCCTTGCTTGGCTATCAATGGATCACTAAGTTAAGTTTCCTGAATTTTCTTTTCATCAACAAATTTATGTGCATGTTCAGTGTTACCCAGAAATTTTAGGAATTTAATTCATGTGTTTAATTGTCCAAATAAAGTTATGTCACGTGCTTGCAAGGAAACACCCACTATGACACAGTTATGGCATAGTGTCCAGCCTGTAGATCTGGACACTATTGATAGCTCACCTGGTCAAGAATTTTCTCTTGAAACTGAGCATGAACAGTTTGTTGACCATGAAAAATGTCCTATATTTTGTATAGTTACTTCTGAAAATTCGGACATCACAGCAGTCTTCTTTGTATCTTAATATGTGTTGTCTAGAAAGGATAATTGGTGCATAGTGTTGCATTGCTAGGGGTATCGGAAATTACGAGCCTTTGCTCAGAATTTGAATTCATATGTCTCATATCTGCTTGGGCTTAAATATAGTGTCTCTTGTTTTCTCCGACTGCTACTTGGGAAACTTGCATTGGTTGACTTACATGGCCTTAACCATCAAGAGAAGCTTGCTTTTTGGATCAACACTTACAATTCGTGCATGATGAATGTATGTGAAATCATTCTATGAACATATTTCAATAAACTATTTAAGATATATTTTGGATAGTCCTCCATATATCGGGAGTGGTTGGATTGGTTGGTGCATTCACTTTAAATCCTATGCCATGTTTGCCGTGTGTTTGGTATAAAAGAAAGAGCCACTAACTATATACACAATGCTTCAGGCCTTTCTAGAACATGGAATACTAGAGAGCCCTGAGTTGGTGGTTGCACTGATGCAAAAGGTATTTCCAATCCAGCCAATCCTTCCATTCATGCATTTATACTGTCATATTCTGTATCCTAACAAACACCGATATTACCAAAAGCACATGCTAAATCTAGTAAAGTTTTAAGTTTGTTAGTTCTTATCTATGAGCTTGTATGAACTAAGAAATTATACACAAGGAAAGATTGGAACACATTGTCTTGTTTCATGAATTTTGGTGGTAGAGTTTTAAGTTTCTTAGTTTGCATCTATGAGCTTGCATGAACTACAAAATTAAATGCCTACACAAGGAAAGATTGGAACACATTGTCTTGATTCATCAATTTTGGTGATGTTTTGTTTAGAAATTTGCCACACTCGTTTGTTTGTTTGTTTTTTTATTTTTTTTGGGCTTTTCTTGTCTGCATTAATATGTCTACCATCTTTTTAAAACTCTATTTTGGCAAAGTTGAAAAAGTTATCAAGGGATCATCTGCTATTAACTTGAGTGGTATCTCCCGTTGCTGGCAAAGTAGTACGTGTAGGGTTCAAATCTTGATTATATGGAACATGGGCATGCATGTAATAGTTATTGTGAAAAAATATTAATCATCTTTTTCACCCTGCTTTCATGCTCTTTCAATCTTTTTGATTTATTCCAATGATTTCAATAGCTTTGTGTTTGCTCACTATTGGTGCAGTTAGTTGAACAGTAAAACTCCCATATTAATCAACTTCACTCGTTGTCATGAGAATTGGTAGTGCAGCATAGCTTGTATTACTGATAGGCCAAACATGCGGATTTGAAAAATGAATTTACATATGCTATGTTCCTTGGATTTTGATTATTCTTCATACAAATATACTATCAAATTTTTGAAGCCTTTTTTGAGGCTTTTGGCAATACAATTTATGCCCCAAGGTTGTGACTTGTGGGCCTCTGCCTCCTTTAGGAAAATTTTTTGTTTCTATAATTGCTCAATTAATCAATTTTACTAATCTTTAAAACAGGTTTGTAGTCATATTTTGTATAAAAGTAGTTCAAAGTATCACTTAAAATGATGCCTTTTTTTAATGTGTTTATTTCCTTTAACAGGGTGTGGAAACATGTTGTCCGGAAAGGGGATGCGGTTGTTGATGCCACTTGTGGAAATGGGTATGACACCTTGGTAATGCTCAAAATGGTTGCTGATCAGTCAAAGAGAGGTCGTGTTTATGGAATGGATGTTCAAAAAGTTGCTATAGAAAGCACTTCATCTTTGTTAGATTAATCAGTCAGTTCAAATGAGGTGCTACTTTTGTGCATTTTTCAATTATTTAATTGCATGAGGAAGGCTTCCCTTAAATCTGGGTTTGGAATGCATACACATTGGCAACTCATGGCTATGTAAGTGCCTTTTCCACCAAGTGTGCACACAATTAGTTATAATCTTTTCTTGGCAAAGAGACAGTATGCATATCAAACTTTTGTTTGAAGTGTACTTGATTCTTAATTGATTAGAATATAATTGCACCATAACGTAAGCAAATGGAGTGCATAGCAAGAATGAAAGTTAGAGTTCCAGATTGCACATCTTCTACATTATTGCAAGTCTTTTAAGTGTCCATATAGCTCAAAAGTCTTCAAATATGTTTAGTAAACTTATAATTTACATGTTTATAGCTGCTTGCTCTTTATTAGTGAATCCTTTTTCTGAGGTTTTAAATACCAGGGATGCAATCCTTGTGCTTAGAGAAATGTTTAGTGGAATTACTCTTGCCTAACCTGTACATCGATTAGTTAGGGGGCTTGACTCCCCTATGAAGAAACTAGGTCACTTTTCTGGCCAATGAAAATTAAACCTCAATCTGATGAATCCTTGACACAAATGATTTATATGTTAAATGAATGAACAATGTTGCTGCATGTGTTACAATAATTTTTAAGGAGTCCTAGTATTCACCATAAATATATGTGCACAGTTTAGTTCAGCTGTCTATGGCCATGCCAAACTTTGGATTCAAATCATGAAGTCATGAATTAATTTGTTATATTTGTACAGAAAGAACTTGTTGAGCTATACAACATGTGTCACAGTAAAATGGAGGAAATTGTTCCAAAGGGCGTCATGGTGAGGTATGCACTATTTGATGCTAAATATTCAGCATACCTTTCTGGTTTTGAGTCATTATTTTCTAAATCATGCCACTTCAACATTGTCTTATATTTAAATCCCTCCCCCTACAGTATTCTTACTGAATTCATTAGTCCTAGCAATTCAATCAGCTTACAGACCAGCTTGCTTTTTATTATTTCTTGTAGTTGCTATTTGCAAAACACAAACAATTTGTATGCATGCACCTATTGATCATGTAGGAGAGTTTTATGATGAGGGTTGTTTATCTACTGGCGTTATTTTTGTAAGAGTTTGTGAGGTTTTGAGAATGCAGGCTAAGGTGTTTAGGCCTAGTGCAATAGAAAGGTTGTTATTAAGGGTACCTTGCCTTTGTAATGACCTTTGGTTTCTGTTTGTGGGGTACTGCTTGCAGTTGGATGTGTTTTAGCAGAATCAGTTCAAGAGGTTTATTGAATGGAGTAGGAAGTTTAATGGGGTTGTATTTACTGCGTTTCTTCTACACAGCTGTGCAGGGTTTGAGGATAGTTGCTGGGATGATGCCCAGGGTGATGTTGTGCATTGGAGATGTTTGCTGCCTGTGCATTTTGAAGGCTACAAAGTGTCTGCCAGAATCTGTCTGGTTCAAAGGTACTGAACAACATGCTCAGTAGCTGGACAGATTCCAGGAGCTGAATGTGAAGATCAAAAGATGCAGTAAAGTAGTTAAAAATGGTTTTAATCATCCTGAAGGATTAAAGTCATTTCTTGTATTCTTTCAAACAAATTTGTTCCTTTATTCTTGTAATTGTTTCTTTTATCAAAAAATTTTCCTTTTCTTAGTCTTATTAAATAGTTGAATGGTGTGATTATAACTCAATATGAATAAAATCAATTTTTTTCCAACTCCTATTTCATAGCTCAAATGCAGCTGTGTATGCATCCATAGTCCTATTTCATTAATTAATTTTTATATTTTTTATTTATTTAAAAAATTATTTGTGACGATTTTTTTACGCTGTTAAAAATTAATTAAATAATTATTTTTAAATTTTTTATTGATGTAAAAATATATTTGCGACGATTTTTTATGTCGCTAAAAATTAATTAAATTATTATTTTAAAAAAATTTTATTTATGAAAAATATATTTGCGACAATTTTTTTACGTCATAAAAAAATTAATTTAATTATTATTTTTAAAATTTTTTATTTATGAAAATATATTTACGACGATTTTTTTACGTCGCGAAAAATTAATTTAATTATTATTTTTAAAATTTTCTATTTATGAAAATATATTTGCGACAATTTTTTTACGTCGCGAAAAATTAATTTAATTATTATTTTTAAAAATTTCTATTTATGAAAATATATTTGCGACAATTTTTTTAAATCGCAAAAAATTAATTTAATTATTATTTTTAAAAAATTTTATTTATAAAAAATTTATTGGCGACGCTTTTTTTACGTCGTTAAAAATAAAATAAATTATTATTTTTAAATTTTTTATTTCTAAAAAATATATTTGCGACGATTTTATTATGTCGCGAAAGATTAATTTAATTGTTATTTTTAAAATTTTTTATTTATATAAAAATTTATTGGTGATGATTTTTGTACGTCGTGAAATATTAATTTAATTATTTTTTAAAATTTTTTATTTATGAAAAATATATTTGCGATTTTTTTATGTCATGAAAAATTAATTAAATTATTTTTTTAAAATTTTTTTATGTTTCTAGAATAGTTTGTAGCAACGTTTGTTTATTATTGGCGACGAAAATAAAACGTCGCAAAAAGGTTTTTTTCCTGGTGAAAATAAAATTATGTTGCAAAATACTTTTTGCGACGAGGCTATTGCGACGAACACACGACGAAAAAAAAACGTCGCAAAATTTATATATATTGTATATATATACATATTATAATATAATATAATATTGATATATAATATATTATAATATTTACACATATATATATTATGAAATTGTTAATATAAAAATAATTTTTTTTTATTTTTTTATTAATGTTTGAATTACTGTTCAAATATATATTTAGGCTGTCCAAACAGGTTTTACTATTTTCTGTATTGTAAATTTATTTTTGAAATCATTTAACCAAACAAGTTTTTTATCTCCAAAAATATCAAAACCACTTTCTTAAAACTCTTCTCAAAAACTGTTTTCAGATACTAGTTTTTGAAACGCATAAAGTAGAGCACCTAGTTACCTCCCACAAAATACTTGTGTTAATTTAAAGTTAAGTGAAAGTAGCGGAGTGATTGTAACATTTTGCATTTGATGGTTTATTGAAAAATAATTGGAATGGGAGGTTTAAGGGTTTAACTAAGGGGATTCTTTGCATGCTTATATGTGTGTGTGAGTTAAGTGTGGCTATTTTAAAAGAAAAAAATGTGATAGACGTTGGGAAAAGGTGTTGGTAATGCCGAAACTCTTATTTCTAAATGTTATTACCACATGTGTGAATTTTAATCCAAATGACCTGAAATTTTGCATGCAACATTTTTAAATGATGCTTGATGTGATAATGTGACTTTCGAATGCAAATGAGTATAATATTCGATGCAAAATGTATGAAATGTCGAAAGTGTAGTTTTTAGGATTCGGGGATCGAAATGTGTAGAAACGGACCCCTAGTCAATGTGTTTGACCTACTTAATCCTAATTGTGATTAAGGTGAGTGATTTTGGGAATTTGGAGAGAAAATGTGATCCCTAGAACAAAAGTGCTAATGTGTGAGTAGATAGTGCGGTGACCGGGGTTATCGGGGCACATTGAGGTGCATCATTTGCATGCATTAGCACATGATTAACTATTAAATGTAATAAACATATTGATATTGGAATTACAAATGTGTTAGGTGGAACGAGTGAGACAGTCAGCATTGGAACAAATATGGTGACACCGAAAGGATCCACAGATATGGTGAGTGTATATCTTTATGTTTTGAAAATGCTATTATAAGATGATAGTAAATGATAGAATTTAATAGCTTTTCTCCAAGATTATGTGCTACTTGTCTATGTGATTGCATGATGTTTTGTACTATGTATTGTGTATTGGGGAATGTGGCGCACTGTTTGAGACAAAGGGCATCGATGCCTGATCACTAGGCGTGTAGTGGTGTGCTAGCACTGTGGTGTTCTCGGGTGGTTTGGGAGACACAAATCAATGTGGGATCGATTACCTAATGAGGGATAGTATGGATGTAATGTGGCTTGTGAATTCTTTGGAATTGAATTGATATTGTTGTTTGATACGTGTATCTACTTATTTTAGTGTATTACTATCATTTCCATTTCATATACAACATGTATAGGCACTGAGCGTGTGGTTTAGCTCACACCCCTATAGTTCTTTTTTTTAGGTACTGTAAAGGAAGATACAGACTGGTCCACTATCCAGTTGTTTGAGTCTTGTACAACGTTAGTGTGATATTATTCAGGTAGAGTGTCAGTATGACTAATTTCTGGGTTGTGTATTATATTTATGAGAGATTATTATGGCAGATAAATAGTATATATTTGTAAGTAGACTTAGCAGGCATACTTTGTTATGTATGCTATGTGGGTGTGGGATTTTGTATATGTCTATAACCGAGGAAACAAATGATTGACGTAGGTGTTTTATATATGGTACATGTTATGAGACAAGTTTTACCATCATGCTTAATTACTAAGGTGATGAGTGGTGTTGTTGCACCTGTGAGATTATTTCATGTTTGATTAATCCAGATTATAATAATTGTAAACAGGTGTATTAAAAATCTCGTTGCACCTCATCCTTGGGAGACCAGGATGGGAAGTGACAGTTTAAATAAATTAATAAGACATATGTGGGCTAAGCATCCTCAAGCCCATTTATTTTAAGCTAATAATAAAAATCTTTTAAACAAAATGAAGGCCTTAACAACAAAATGCCCTATCTCTATGTCATGTCTTCATGTCTTCCACAGCTTAGATCAAGTGGATCAAAATTGGTTCGCCTTCTTTCAATACCAGCTTAAGTGTTGGGCTCTTGCTTGCTTCATCCTAGGTGGATTGCACCAATCCTTGCATTGCTTCCTTGATCTTCTTGGCTCTTGATCTTGTAATTGGCCCTCTGGAACTTGCAAATGATCTTTAAGGGTAGGCCCACCTTGGTTCCCATCATTCCCCCTTTCCTCAAAATGATTCGTCCTCGAATCTTCACCTTTGCAAATTTCTAATCGTTGCTTCTTGCTGATCAATCCTATCCCTCATTTCCCCCAACACCAAGTTCAACTACTCAAATTGTTGTTGCATGCCCTACAACATAAAGAATGGGTTATCGGTCATCCCCCTTGGTGATAAGCCACTTCGGTGAGACATTGTAATGTGCTGCACAAAAAGAATGTTAGTGGTAAAAAAAAAAAAAAACCTCGCACACTCCCTTACGTGTTTCACTCTTAATTTTTTTTTGGAGCCTTATCCTTAAAGGGGCTGCATACATCACTATAGTTGGTATCTTGTCTTATAATTACTCTTTCATTTGTATAATTTTCTTGATTCTTGTGTCATTTTATTCCTTTTACATTTCTCTTGTTTCTTGGGCCAAATTACTAGTTGGGATTAAACAAGGTTGCATTTTCTTGACTAAGTTCAATTAGATCTTAAAGAACTTGAGTGGGAAAACTCTTGAGGTAAAAGGCAAGAGAGTGTGAGACTATTATCGTGAAAAAGCCAATTAAGAGTGAAACACGAGCAGAGTGTCATCAATTGAGTGTAAACACGTAAGGGAGTGTGTTATGTTTTTTTTTTTTACCACTAACATTCTTTTTGTCCAACACATTACAATGTCTCATCAAAGTGGCTCATCACCAAGGGGATGACCGATAACCCATTCTTTACATTGTAGGCCATGCAACAACAATTTGAGCGGTTGAACTTGGTCTTGGGGGAAGTGAGGGAGAGCATGAGCCCATGTGTAGTACCAGTGCTACTAGTGCCAAAGAAGGATGAGACGTGGAGGATGTGCATTGATTGCAGGGCTATCAACAATATCATAGTGAAGATTCGAGGGAATGATGGGAACCAAGGTGGGCCTACTCTTAAATTCCAGAGGGTCAATTACAAGATCAAGAGTCAAGAAGATCAAGGAAGCAATGCAATGATTGGTGCAATCCACCTAGGATGAAGCTAGCAAGAGCCCAACACTCAAGATGGGCTCCAAAGAAGAAGAGACAATATGGTAGAAAATATTGAATTTTAATTGTGAGTTGAGTTTACTTCTTTTGTTCTTGATTGAACTTTTGAACTTATCATAGGTAAATCACAACCTTCGTGGCGTTCCTCCTTGTAATATGGGTTTTTGAGATAGGTTTTTCAACGGGTCTAGATTTTAATATAATCTAGGTTCTTGAAACGAGTTCTCAACGGGTTTAGATTCTCCATCCATAAACTTGAGTTTGGCTTTCTTGGGTTGTGTTTTCCAATATTGTTGTTAGGTCTCAAAGCAAGTCGATTGGGGTTTACATCAACGTGCATAAAACCTTATACACTACATGAAACTGTCCTAACAGTTGTTAAGCACACAATCACCTTTTGCTTTGTTGTGCTTGCCACGTGTCACACTCCATTTTTGACAAGTGTCCTATGACATATCAAAGTATACATTATACCTTCTCAGTTATTG